ACAGCCACCATATTAGACAAGCCTCCTCTTTCTACATGCCAAGCAGAGGCAAAGCAAGCTCATTTTAGCCCTAATGCTTCTTGTGTCTTTATTTATTCTTTTAAGTGTTAACTGTTGAGAAATCGTAAACATCCTGCAAAGGGTCGACACAGAACGCATTCTAGGCACTAGTTCCAGTCAATAAGTAATTGTATCTAATAAGTACTACTATCCAATGAATAAGCACTGGTGTCTATTCAATACTTACTGGCATCTAATGAACACGTACTAGTATGCAATAAATAAGAACTAGTATCTAATGAATAACCACTAGTACCTTTAAAAAAGGTACTAGTACCTAAATAATAAGTATTAGTACCTAATGAATAAGTACTAGAGCCTAATGGAATAGAAAATAGTAGCTAAAAAGTAAGTACTTGTAGAATGAAAATAGATACTTGTAAGTTTTAAGGATGAAATGTTATAAACGCTTGCTGTGGAGACACCGCGCAGCAGAATGGCAAATGGTACTGAGACATGTTTTAAATAGTTGTACTTCTTTTAACATGACATGTCATTTTGAAAAAAGGTGGCTATTTATTTCAGTGATATCTTGCAGGAATTACGATAATTTCATGCATACCATTCCATTAAAAAAAATCCCTAAATCCGTTAAATTTGACAGGTTTCAAATGATTTTGGGGATATTGTACCTGTCCAGTTGTGTATGTTTTCATCTGTTAAAATTCAAATATTTGTCTCATTTATTTCACACTGACACTGGTCTCAGTGTTTGTATATGTGTTCAGACAAGTGTGATAGCCCTGCAGCGGCACAGTGTGGGTCCAGTGGGTCATGTGTTATTTTGACTGATGTGTTGTTGAGCCTTTTCTCCTCATGTAGCAGATACAACAATGCCTATATTTGCTTTGTCTCCTCCTGGGTTATAAAAATAGCATGGCCTGATTCCATCTTCTCCCAGGGTTCAACATTTTCACAAACATTGCTTCTATCTTAAAAAGCAACACTTGTTGCTTCAAGAACCACTCAAATGGTTTCATTTTCTATTAAGCAGATATCTAGTTCAACAACTAAGGAAGATTCCAGGTTAATCACAAAATAAACAGTTGATTACCACAGAGGATGAAATTCACTTGTGTCCCAGTTTGGGGAAAAAAAAAAAA